TATAATCACTGACATATGCCACATGCCAGATAGATTAAGAAACACAAGAACAATGAGCAACTATACACATTAGTTTTGAGCTAATTAGATGACACCTACAATACAGATTTTAAGGAGTTGTCAGGACACAAGTACTAGTATAAACCACACAGAGGAAATTACATTCCCAGTCATTGTGAAATAACTGGTACCAGACTTGTCCTCCTGCTGTAATAATCAGAACAAATATCAGGCAATATACAGAAAATGGCTCTTTCACTTGTTGAACAATGCACAACACAGGACAATTATCATAGGAAAAGGGAAACAAGCCCTATAGTAGCCAAAACTTGCTATTTAAAAACACATGCAATATTACTCAATTGAAGAAACACAGTTCAGAATTCCAGGAGGACACCACAGCTAGAATTTCCAGGGCATAGTACCAGAGAAGGAGCTATGTAGATAAACAATTCACAAAGAAAATCTACTTATGGGTCTCCTCATATCAGTCACTGAACAGAGTCATTAATGAATAATAAGACAAGGGTAAAACTCCACAGGCTGGCCAGAAACCACCAGGAAACTTTAAGACAGAAGATTCCCAAGATTCACACAGAGCTAGGACATGTCTGTGTTTTAATCATTAAGAAAGAAAGAGGTAAGAGAGAAGAGAAGCCTTACTAGGAGGTCAAAACTAGCTGGTGAATACTTTATATTTGACCACACAAAACTTATAAGAAGCCTTGAATGGATTGGGCTGATTAATAGATCAATAGATAACTGCCCACTATGCAAAATTTAACGCTCGTTTAAAGAAGTCAATAAAATCAAGATACTTAGTAAGTCATAACATCTAGCATCCAAGAAAGATAACATATTGCATGAAAAATGTGACTCATAACCAGAAAAACAATCAACTGATGAAAAACATGGAGAAAAAGAAGTAAAGAGGAACCAAGATAGGACTCTGGGAAATACCCAGGCATGATTTAAAAGAAGAAAATGATCCAGAAAAAGTCACCAATAAGGAATAGTGCAAGATATTAAAAGAATGAGGATAAAATTTTGTCATGGAAGTCAAGTGAGGAGAAAGTTCCCAAAAAAAGAAGAAGTTATCAATAAGGAGATCAAATGAGAGAATGAAGAGTGCTCATTGGATCCTACAGGCCCTACTGAGCATAGCCAAAAGTCTAGGTGAAGACATAGTGCTAGAAGCCAGACATCAATAGGCACTGGGGAGTGAAAGGCATGAGAGGAAGGGGAGATGACAACTGCTTCTTCAAGGCAAGATTATTTCTCACTCAGGGTGGGCAAAATATATGTAAATTTAACCTTCAGAAATATTTTAAAATACTCTACAGGTGGGACAGCACATGTCTCTAAGTCCCAGCTACATGTGAGACTGAGACAGGAGGAATCCCTTCAGCTCAGGAGTTCAGCCTAGGCAACAGATTTATTTTCATATATATGCTTGCAAAAACTAGTATGTGAGCAACAGACCTAGATCCTGGCTCCAAAATATTAGATAGACAAACAGATAGACATAGATATATGTATTCTACAACCTGCCATAGCAATGTCTCCTTTATCTCTCAATCACATTTGTTTGTAACACCTAAACTACTCCCAATGAGAATAAAAATTGTTACCAAAAAAGGCATTCAGTAGCTTCTGAACTTGAATATTGCTACCCACGGTGCGATACAGCCCTTCAGTCTTGATCCCTAGGGGGAAAAAAAATCAAGTCAGCTTTGTTTACACAGCTAGAGTTTTCCACTCTCCCAGGGTAGAGAAGGGAAGTGTTTGTATAAAGGAGTTGGTTAACCCAGGAGAAAACTTGTTACTCTCTTCAAGTTTTCCAGCCCTCCTCTGTGACAAAGGAACAGTACTAAAACACTTTGTAATTAACCATACTTTTATTTGGATCATTCCAAGCCACATCAATCTGAACAGAAGAGAACACATTCTATGGTAAATAGAAGTATATGGTTAGGTGGGTGGCTGCCAATAGCTGAGAACAATGCTGCCATGTTGAAAAGGAGTTAGGGTTTAATTAAAAAAAGAAGAAATACCAACCATTACATTGCTTCTAAGCACTAATAGATGACAGGAGGGTCAGAACACAGCAGATGTAAAAGCAAAACTCCATTTGCTTAGCTCAGAAAGGTTGAAGCAACATTTCAAAGTAAAAAGAGGCATAGCCTATATAATTAAGCCCACCTGTAGTCTAAATATCCTCTGAGTACCTTGAACCAGGGAAGTATGCTGATTCCACCCATGCCCAAGTTCAGCTTTTTTACCCATCAGGTTTTAAACCAACATATATTGTGGCATAAATTGAACTCTGATTAGGGTAGAAGCATCATGAGACTGCTAGAGGAGTACCATATGCCATTTCAGATTAATTGATAAACCACTTCATATTTTATCCCTTTAAAAGCAAGAAACCGTAACTTATCCAAGTATGTTTAGATACTACTGGCTTGGAATTTGCTAAAATTTTACAAATTATGTTCACTGCACAAGGGTTACAGACACCATTATAAAGATGAGTCCTGCCTAATACATATCACTGCTCTCTTAGTAAAATTGATCCAGACCAAAGTGGAGTGACCAGATGCAGACAGTGTCAAGGCTGTGGTTCAGATCTTACCTTTGGTCTCAATGATATTGATGCACTTCCTAACGAACTTGAACCCCACTTCATTCAGCTCCACTGTTTCAAGCAAAGGAAAGTACATTTAGGTCTACTGCAACAAGTATAATCTACCAAATATTTAATGACCATACTAATGGACTACCATGAGGGAATGAGGGTTTAACTGCTTACTATCAATTCACAGGAGGTTTGAAGTTTTAACTCTTACAACACAAAAAATATTCTTGCTTAACCCTTCACATTTATGTCTGCTTTAAGCATGAGCAACATCAATGTGAAAATACTAGCCTAGAGATGCAGGCTAACATCTATTTTTATGTCTGGAACAAGGATAAAATGTGTTTATCTGTATCATCAGCACAGGCTCAAATAAGTGACTTCTGTAGTTCAGTCAACAGATGATTTAAAAAACAAGGCTGAATTTTATTTCACACAGAGGTATCCATATACAGTCATGTATCAACAGTACATAGCATTAATGACACCATTGACCCTGACTGCGAAATTCCATAATCATAATGTCAGTAGAGCAGAAATTTGAATGACTTACTTTCTTCCTGCTTTGTTATGGGGCTGTGGTATATCTACAAAAAGAAGAGAAAGAGAATGTGCCATGGCTATTGTGAATCACTACAGGTATGCGGGGCAAATAATATTAAATATTTTTCCCAAACTAGCCCATCAAAATTATTAGACACTCTAGGGCAGGGATGGTGAACCTTTTGGAGATAAGTGCCCCAATTTCAACCCAAAACTCACTTATTTATTGCAAAGTCCCAGCATAGCAATTGAACCTGAATACTGAGGTTTTGGTTTAGAAAGAATATCTAATACAGTAATATCTTTTGTCTTTAAAAAAAAAACAAATAACACATATACCACACATTTGCCACCACTGCTCTAACGCCATAAGAAGGAAAATTCATCTAAACAGAATCATCTTTGCTTACATTCCTATAAAAAGTTTCATTATCTCTGAAAACTACATTGGATTTGATTTAGTTCACTACAGTGGAAAATGTGTCCAATCCATCTTAGGCATTTAATTATGTAATACTTGGATCATTTTAATGTGGAAAAAGAGAACCATAGGTAAGGGATGAGTGGCTTTCTCATGGACAGTGAAGTAACAGGCATAAAAATTAAAATTTAAATGTTTTCAACAACAGTCTCCCACCCTAAACACTAGTTACCGGGTGCTTCTCTTTGGAAAGGCAAGAAGAGATCTTTGTATTTACCTAGATTTCTCCATGTTGTCTTGAAGTAAGCATTGTGATAGCTGTATATGAGACCAGAAAGGAGATTCCTGAAATCCAGTCTTGGCGCTGCCTTTGTATCACTAGGCATGCTTTTCTCATTTTTTAAATTCCAAATTTTCTACTGATAAAAAGATCAGTAGAATAGGAATAGGTGTATCTTAAAGCCCTGATCTTCTCTGACATGCTAAGCAAAAGCATGCACATGATTTGTAAGACTGGTGTGTTGGAGTGTATAGTAAAGTAACAACATTAGCAATTTGCAGCTGTGGGAAGTCCTCTATATGCCATATATTAGAATCTGCTTTAACAGTCTCTCTTTTTAAAAGAATATTTCCCATATATGTGTGTGTCCATGGGTACTTCAGTGAATTTTTGCACTAGCCAGTCTTTAGTGCCACCATTATGAACAAGAGCCTTGTGAGAGGTCTGTCATGATCAAGTTGGTGAAGTTCCATATTCAGTGGCCTCATATTCTAACATCACTCTCCAAAAAGAGCCATCTGTATCCCCAGATGTATTAAAGCCTACAGGGAAAGCAACTGAAGCAAGAGCTAAATGCCTTGCCACGCCTATCTGCATGTTCCGACAGAAACGTCACCAGCATGTGAAAGCTAGGCATCAGCTTTCCGGAAGGTATAATGTCAAAGCCAGGCTTAATAAGGTCAGAACCAGGATGCAAATCCAAGCTTTTGTGATTTTAATGCAAGGAAGCTAATACTATTTTATATGCCACTAAAAGAAACCTAGTAGAAACATATTGAGGAGAGACTCTCTTCAATAAATTCTAACTGTTCATAATTATCTCTCTGGGACAGTTCTTCACCCTTTAAGAAATCACTTGTGCATCTGACTAAGGTATTCTAAGTAGAGTGTCCTAGGATACAGGATGGAAACACCATCTCCTCTATTAGCTCAACCCTGAAACAGAATAAACTGATGTAGGGGTAGAAGTTGAAGAAGCTGGGGGTATAGCTCAGGGGTAGAGTATTTGACTGTAGATCAAGAAGAAGGAGAAGAAAGTTATTTTGAATAAAATCTTAATAAATGCTTATTCCCAGCCATGACAATTATTTTCCATTCTTTTATAAGAAAACATACTAATTTTATAATCTGAGAAAAGGCTGTCTAACACAGGAGCAGGGAAGATGATCATAGAGAAAATACCTTGTCCTCTCTGGAACACACAGTTTAGAAAATATTTTTGATTCAGAAAAAAAAGTGCAGCTTGAAGCCCACATTCATTTAATTTTCAGCAATAGAAAATTGCTCTATTTTGTAAATGCAAACACCACTACTAAAAATAGAATGCTATCAACAGAATGATATCTTCAAGATATTGTGTGGCATACTTTGGAGGTAAGATTAGAACTATACTCCATGTGTTATCTCTCAGGGTAAATACTGCAGTCACAAGTAACATCAACACATATTTTCAGAGCAACCAGGAAATTAGTTTTAAAATATTCATGATAGGGCCATAATTTGCATGTCTCACTTGCCAGGCAGCTTGAATCACAAGTGGTACATGCACAACTCTCCTATCTGGCAGTTTTTTATTAATTTTATTAGGAAAAACAACAACAAAAAGTGATTAGATTTCTTTCTAGTGCCTGTGGTATAAGCTCCCCTAATGGGGTGGTCATGTATGTGCTAACAGTGGTTCATCTGGCAGGATCATGTTAAACAAGTGATTTGGAAATCATAATTCCTTCCAGCTCTTAACATTTTGAGCTGAGTTTGGCCATTTAATTGTGATAGGCCTACTAACACCAGTAGAGGGCAATCATACACTGACCTATGCTACTGACATTTCCCTGGTATCTGAGGTAACTTACAGGTTCTTTCCCATCCATGGCTTCCATCCATAGCCTTCTGTTAGCTTCTGAAAGAGCCTGCAGAGTGATGGTTCCCGGCCTAATGGGGGAAAAAAGGCAAATTAAAAACAAAATGTCACTCAAGAGAATGAAGTCTTATGGTCTAGTATGTCTACTTCCCTGGAAGGTGACTCACTGAACAGTTACCAGCCTATAGAATTCTAAGTTTTGAAGACTTTCCTTGAACCAGAATAGAGAAGGCAATTTAAGAGAATAAGAACTTTGCAGATACTAGGGAAGTGGTATTTTGGTGGTGAGGCTAAAAGACAGGAAGGTAGATCTCATGACACCTGACCGTAATACACATATAAAATTGGCTCTGTTGTGCTTAAGCCCAGCTCAAGCTCTCTCTACCTCCCTCTCCTTGGAAGCCAGTCATTTGGCCCAGGCTCTAGGGATGACTATATACATCACAGACACATTCACCTGTCAAGAAAATGGCTCTGTTCCTACCACCTAGGATGTTCAGGAAACATTTCCAGTTGGAAATAGTTCATCAACATGCAGACTGGCTAAGCCACAAGAAGGAGGTCTTTTGGCAGACAAACAACCTAATGATTAATAACAACAGCGAATATTTACCAAAAGCTCACTAGGTGCCAGATGCTGTTCTCAGTGCTTTTACATATACCAATCCATTTAATCTACCGAGGTAGTCTATGAAACAGTTGCTACTATAAGAATCTCCATTTTAAAGAAGGGAAAACTGAAGCACAGAGAAGTTACCCAAGGTGATACAGCAGAAGAGTGGTAGATTTAAATCCAGAAAGTAGAGTCCACCAGTCACAATCTCAGCCACTAACAATAAAGCATTTTCTACATGGCAGATGGCATCAACCCAAATTGTGTTCTATTTGCTTGTAGGTTACCTGCCATTTCCTGACTATCCCCCTAAATTCATGTATTAAAATATAATTAGCAACATGATAAACTTAAGAGCCAGGATCTTTAGGAAGTCATGAGTAGAGCCCTCAGAGAGGGCATGAAGGGCTTTATGAAAATGCTTGAAAGAATATATTTGTTCCCTTTCATTCTTTCTGCTAAGTGAAACAAAGTATTTGTCTGCTCTGGAGAACATAGCAACAAGACACAATTTTAGAAGTAGATATTGTGCCCTTACCAGATACTGAGCCCACCAGCACTTGATCTTGGATTTTTAACCTTGAGAACTATAAGATAGAAACTCTGTTGTTTCTACATGTATCGCCAAATCTCAGATATTTTGTTATAGCAGCACAAAAGGAATAAAATCCTATCTATACTCACACATAACCCAAGTAGGTATATCCTTTATGGTCACTTGGACCTTCACAACCAAACTGTAAATTGGGGTTTGACCAAACTACTGTAAAAAATGAGGTCTCCATGGCTAGCTGTATCATTATGAGACCTTGTTCCTCTCACTCCTTCTAAGATAAAATGAGACCACTCTCAGAGACACAGAATGATAACAGCAATGACAAGAGAGTTTAGAGACCCTGGATACATAACAAGGCCTCTCTGGACCTCCACTTCTTTATCTGTAAAAGTGTAGAACACACAGCCAGGAGGTTCTTTGCAGCTGACTAGGAGATTCCTTCTCTACCTGTCCTTTCATCTCTTACCTCATTAAAGTAAGACACTCTTTAAATGGAAATCATCTTTTATATGGAATTGACTAAAAATTAATTTTTTTACTAAAAATTAAGACTTGGCTGTAGACACTGGATTCTTTTGAAACATTCACCCTCTTGTATATATCCTATAGGACTACAAAGGCCAGTGATCTTTTATAAAGACAGTTACCCAGCTGAATTTCAAACCAAAAAAGGAGAACAACAAATGAACAACACACATAAAAGCAAACATTGCAAGCCAGATTTGCTGTTAGATTCCACGGGAACTCAGCTTCTTTAGCTGGGAAATTGAAAAGCAAGAGTGTGCGTTTGTGCTCTTGCCCTCACTAGGGGGCCTGGAATTCTAAATAACCAACTATTCTAGTATTCAGATACTTGGGTGCTACAGAAAGTCAAATTCAAAGAACAATACTGCTAAGTAAAGGATGAGAAAGTGGAAAATGTACTAAGTTCTAGTCCAGGCTCCTCCATTATCCTTATAAACTCAGACAAATCGTTTGCCTTCCCTTAAGTCGTACTTTCTCATGTGGAGCCAAAGGCATAGCAGGCATCTCAGCAGTGTGGTGTAGTAGTGAAGAGGGAGCCTTGGGAATTTGAATGCCTCGATTTGGGCCCTGCCTCTAGCACTTAATTAGTGGTGTAACAAAGTCGCTTAGCTATTACTATCCTCTGCCTCATCTTCACTTGTGAACTGGGGATAACAGCAGCCCCTAGCTCATTAACTGTGGTGAGGACTAAAGGGAATTAATTATATATTTACAGGGCTGAGAACTGTGCCCGACATACAGGTAGCACACAGCAAGCACTAGCTGTTGTTATTTTGTTGCTAAGGCCCTTTACATTCTGATGAAATATAAGCTATGAGTCTGTGGTTTAAAATGCTGGTAGAAATGCTAAATTATAAAATAAAATATTACTCTCTTTCTAAAGCAGAAGAACAGACTCAGAGAAACTTTTCCACTGTGCTCCAGGAAAGTGAATAAAGGTGTGTGATACCTAGGAGAAGCCTGACTCTGTACCTTTTATCAGATTAACTAGCTAGAAAAGTAGACACCTCAGATCTCAGAAAAGTACATAGGCACAGAGGGGCCACAAAGACTGCTCCATATTATATTTAACATTCAATTTCACGCCATATTTATTCTGCTTATGATAGACAGTAGAACAAAATAATAAAGGGCATGAACCTTAAAGACCTACAGACCAAGGCTTGAGCTAAGCCTCTCTAGTTACTACATGTCTTGTGTTTGTCAAGTCAGTTAAATATATTTGGGTCTCGGGCTCCACACCTATAAAACGGATTTGTGGAATTAAATAAGGAAATTTTTGTAAAGTGCATGGCTTGTGATAACTGAAATCAAAATTTTAACTCCCGAGTTGTAGTCTCCAATTTCCTCACCATTCTAGAAGAAAAAGACCTGTTCAAAATAAATACCAAATTTCTATCATAAGCCACGCAGAGCACAAATTGCAAGAAATATAAAAATCAATTGGTCTTAAGCTCTAACTAAACTCGGGGTGAAATTATTTGCATCTCCTTTGGGTTGGGGATATTATTTGCAAGTATCTGGCAAGGGAACTAAACTGAAAAGAGAATCAGAATAGAATTATATATGAGAAGTTTTAATCTATTCTAAGCACCTTGATATTGTACAACCAAAGATACCATAGGTTCATAAAACTAAACCAGACCCAACAATTATTTTCCTCTTTTTACTGTCTCTGATAGTATCAAGAAAAGGAGTGCCAATCTCACAGCTGCTTGTACAAATTATGACTATCAGTTATCGTGATCAGATGCATCCATTTTTAATAAGGAAGTCATTTAGGTCCACAAATTAAAATGCTAAGGGACAAATAATAACTTCTCAATTTTTAAAATAGAAAAATAGACTTATTCTTATTTCCAGATTAGAAAATTACCTTTGTCTGTTAGTGTATTCCTTGTGATCTCAATCACTTAAGATTTTGCTCATATAATATTACAATTCACTGATTGAGCTCTTTCCCAGAAATCTGGTTATGTTACTAAATTCTACTGCATTAACTCAGTGCCTAATATGTAGTAATAATAGATTAAAATAAAATCAAGACACATATTCATTCAGTAAATTTTGGATGAACCTCCCAACTACAAAGCATGCCTTTCTCCAAAATAATGCTAAAGGCTCTCATTTTTTTAATTTAAAGGTCAAATTCTTCATGAATAAAACTGTTCAGGTTTGGGGACCATAAAAGAAAGCAGTAGAAACAATATAACAAAATTCAGAATGTACAAGTTGTATGTCCAGTATCTGTGTGGAAAAACTTCCACTTCACATAAGTATCTGGCAAGTCAGGAAAGGCTGTTTCATTTTTGCACCAGAGAGGAAAAGCAACTCTACAAAAGCATATCCACCCTCTACCCCATCTGGAATTCTCTCAAAAATGCATTCCAAGGGGCCAGGGAGACAGCTCATTAGAATAAGTGCTTGCCTGGCAAGCACAAAGGCATGAGTTCAATCCCCAGTTCCACAAAAAAAAAAATGCATGCCAATATACTCGCTCTTTTATAATACAATAACAAGATGTTAAAAGAACAAGTTTTGTTAGCCTGTCCTCTTTCCAGTATCACATTTTGTATACATGACATCAAATTAAATCCATGAAGGCACCTTTCTGCCTAGGGCAAGTGAGACAAACCTGCAGGCACAGGGGAAATCAGCTGTGTGCCAGGCCTAGCAGGGATCCTGTGAAAGGCCGTCAGAAGAGCCAAGACAATGTTGTCTTGGCAGAGATTTGCTCATTTTCAACAACATGGGATAATAGGAAAATAAAAGACCTACCCAGACTCGGCATCTGGCGTGTGCGGACATTGCCAATTCATAGCAGTGAAGCTTACCTTTCATTAGTTTCTATATCAAAACAGAACCTCTTATCAATAGACTCTGTCTTCCTTCTCACACAGTACTTCAGGGTTAAGTCCAAGGGCCCCTGATAGGAGAGAGAGATTAAATTGCAATTTGAAAAAATGCACAGAAGCTTCTTCTACCTCCCAGTATCCTCAATGTCACTTGGAAGGTATAAGCCACACCAGCAATAGCAATGTGTAGACTCACTGAAAACCCTGTCCGACCAAACAGTACTTAGGGTAAGACAGCAGGTGAACTTCCCATGCTCCAAGAATCAATGGCTCGCACCAGGAGAAAATATTCAGAGTAGGCCAGGTCTCCTCCCTTAATGACAGATCAATCAGAAAATGCAATGCACATCACATAAGGGCGGTGTAGGACAAATGGATTGCCTGAATGCCATGAAGTATATGGAATAAAAATTTCATAGGCTTCTGGTACTGAGGATGCAAAAGGCTTTCTGAAAACATCCTTAAAAAGTCAGAGAGAAGTGCAACAAAGAAGCTTCCATTAAAGTGGCAGACGGAATGGGGAAGAAATTATTAACAGAAGAATGTTAATAGAAGAAGAAATATTTCTGTGCCCCACTTCAGACTCTTTTAAGATGATAAAAATCACAAAATAGAACTCATCAAAGGCACGGACAATGCCTTGTTATCTCTAGTACATAGCAAATATAGTGTTCAATAAATACTTATGAACTAAATCATCATCCTTGCCACTTCTCTGATGAGTAAACTGATATTGAGCAATATAAAATAATTTAACCAAGGTAAAAAAGAAAGTAGAGGGGCCAGGAGATAGCTCAGTAGAATAAGCAAATGCCTGGCAAGTGCAAGGGCCTGAGTTCAATCCCTGGTTCCGGAAAAAAAAAAAGAAAGTAGACCCCAGAGGTAGGCTTTTTTATTACTATAATTTCTAACATGGAAGGGATGAGGATCTACTAAAATACTATTTGTGAGGTGATCAGTAAAATGAGCAGTACAACACAAATGAGAAATGACAGGCTGAGCTAACAGGACACTGATAAGGGAAAGGGTCGGAGAGATGTTAACTTCTTCCATCTTTAAATTGGGAGTATGACAGTGCAAGGTGCTGCTGAAAGAATAAAAGAGGAATGGGCTGGGGAGATAGCTCAGTGGTCTAAGCAACTGCGTGGCAAGTGCAAGAACACAGGTTCGATCCCTGGTACTGCATGCCATGCAGGCCCTGGAACCCCAGGCACCAGCCCTGAAACCAGTCATGGTGGCACACACCTGTAATCCCAGCACTAGGGAGGCCAAGACAGAAGGATCACTATGAGTCTGAACTGCCTAGCAAGACCCTGTATCAATAAATAAGGGCCAGCCAAACATCGCAACAGATTAAAGCACCTGCTTAGACAGGCACAAGGACCAGGGTTCAATCCCCAGAGAGATATTCCAGCCTCACTCCCAGGGCACACTAAATTGACTGAGACTGGGCATGGTGGCATGTGCCTTTAATCCCAGTGCTTGGGAGGCTGAAAACAGGACAATCACTAAGAGTCCAATCTGTGTAGTGAGACCCTATAGACCTTGTACTAAATTTAAATAAAGTACCACTTTAAATAAATAAACAGGATGCAAAACAAAACATATCTATCTAGCTCAAGGGCTGAGGAGATGGCTCAGTAGTATAAGTGCTTCCCTGGCAAGCGCAAGGGCCTGAGTTCAATCCCCAGTTCCAACCACAAAAAAAAAAAAAAAAAATAGCTAGCTAGCTAGCTTGGTGCTTGAGACCCAGCTGGAATTCAAGAAATAGCAGTTTCTACAGAACAATGATAGCTTTCTTATTTACATTATATACATTTCAGAAAAACGAGTAGTAGGAACTGAGTCAGAGATCTGACAAAAAGTTGTTTCCAGCTCCAGTTTGGGGAAATTCAAATAACTACTTTTTCCCTTCCACCCTCTGATCCTGCCTACTGAATGGGGAACCAAGTTCCTCTTTCCATTCTATTAAGAATCTCATATGAAAACTGCTTACAGTGACACCACTGCAGTTTTGCAAGCAGCCATGCACTGCAAATGAAAGAAAAAAGCAAAACTAAAAGGAAGCTTTACTCTCATCTGCTAGGAGGGAATAAAAGTAGTGCCTGCAGACTTTATTTTGGGCTCAGCAATATATACTTGTGGGGCCGGGGAGATAGCTCAGTAGAATAAGTGCTTGCCTAGCAAGCACAGGGTCCTGCATTCAATCCCCGGTACCAAAAAAAAAAAAAAAAAAAACACTAAGTCATTCTTGGGGCCGGAGACTTGGCTCAGTGGAGTATGTACTTCTGAGGAGGAAAGAAAGGGTTTGAACAACAGTCCTGACTGTAAGAACAGTTATATTACCCAAGATTTAGAACGTAATATGTGTAGAAAAAGAAAAAGACTGCAGGGCAGTGGTACTGATCAGCACTTGCCACTCGAAAACATCAGCTACGTTCTAACTGACTTGGGACAAAGCATGCGCTGCAGCACAGGGTGAATTCATCTGAAGCCTACCAGGAGGCTCTGCAGCAGCTGGCAGGCTGGAAAATGACTGTTCTGAACTCATGTACAAGTAAAGTCCAATGACAGAAGCATAAAAAAGCACTCTAGGAAACCCTGTTTGGTACATTTTATTAGAAGTTCATCTCATATCCAACCTACATTCAAGACGGTGACAGATCTTGCAGTTAAAGACCAAAGAAGTAAACTTCAATAGCATGCAACCAGATCTCAGTCCTCTTTAAATTTATATAAATGAGTCACATAAGAGATCTTCCATGAAAAGCACTAGAATTGAAGAAAAACTGGCCCAGTTTTTCTCCAAATCCCCACCTACCTGAATTGGATCTTAATGGATTACTTGTAGTACTAACAGGTGAACCTAAAAGTGTTGCTAACAGCTTGTAAACACTTAAACCATGCATGAAGAGCCTATATAAGAGTAAGTTAAATGGAAAAAGACAGACTGAACCACTACTGCAATATTAACAATCTCTCTGACTTTGACACTTAAATATATGGGAGGGTATATAAAAGATCAGGTTTTTACAACAGAATAAACTACCTTCTCAATGTGTTAAACTCTTCTTTCCATTATAGGGAGTGGATGAAAGTTTGAAGCGGAGCAGAAGATATATTATTTGCTTAAAAGTATTTGAGTGCTGCACAGCTTATAAGTTATCCTAACTTTAGGTAACAGACATACACTTAAAAAAGTAATTCAAGAAATTGACTCATGTTTTTTCAAACTTCCGAGTTACAATATTTCTATAGCAGAGCCTTATGAGCGATGTATGCAGATTTTTGGTAATTTTCTTTGTAAAGAAAAAACTATAACACCAAATGGTCTGAAAGAGTACAGGCACTTTCAAGGTCTCATGGAATTCACTGACTAATCATGGATGCACTGAGCAATTATTATTATTTGAGGATGCGTTCTGACCCAAAGCAGCCTGAGGCCAAGGAGAACATATATAATCATAACTTCACATAACACAGTTAGGCTTGATTATTTAACACCATTTCAACAGACATTCTTCTCTGAGATGCACTTAAAAATGTCTCTCAAAAATTGCTGGCATATGTGAGGACTGACCTGCTTAGCACCTGGCTTCTGTTCCATAGGTGTCATGGTGAGCGTTTTAGTTTCCTTCTCATATCGGCAATAGTACTTCACCCAGGATATTCCCAAAGCCCCTACACAGACAGACAAGGGAGACAGAATAAAAGTTGCAGCACACACTATGGCAGATGCTGCTTATAGCCTATTCTTTATGGTCAAGCTCTAGGCTCCAGCCCTATACTTCCCCTCAGCTAGTCTTACCTGCCAAACTGCTTCCCAAATCTGCTTTTGGCTTGCCCCAAACCCATCCTCCTTGCCATGTGCCCTATGAATGGAAGGGCCATACCTCTCAAAAGCTGGAACATTCTGTCATCAGCTCCTCTTTGACTGTAACTAATCTACTTGGGCCCTGGGTTGCACCTCTTTTGTCACCTACAAGTCTCTCCATCTCTGACACTATCATCTAGGAATTAAAAATGATATTGCTGTCTTTTAAAAAATGTTTTATGAGTTATTTCAAACAAAAAAATTCATTATTTCTCCACTTAATTGTTTTAGTGGACTTCTATTTCTGATTACTCTTTTCCAGTCTATTATTCACTTACATGTTAGAGGAATATTAGTTTAAAGACATAACTCTATTTCAATGCCAGCGGCAAACTAACAAACAGCAATAATGTCCAGCTTCTCCAGGACCCAAAATCAACATACCTAAAAAACAGCAAACTGGAGAAGGAGGGCGGGGGTGAGGGGGGGCAAAACTGATATCTAAGATTTAGGAGGGATGATGGCACAAGGAAATTGGAAACCACAGAGAAACTTGAGAAATAAAACACAATGCAGACAAAAGAGTGAAGCAGTATGGAAAGCCCACACTGTTTCCAAGGAGGAGAAGCTGTCTCTCCTGACACAAGATAAGCCCCCAGGTTCAGGAGCTCTAGGGAGAAAAATGGCCCTGGCTGGCAATCACTGTTAGCCCCAAGAAAAGCCTAAGACCATTGTAAACTACAAAAGCGGTGTGCAGTTTTACTTTGAAAATGATTCCTTCAGTGTAACAAGCTAGTGTTGAAGAAATCAAAGTTCAGTGCCCACCATACCTGACAGACTGAGCCACAAAATAATTATTAAACATCTTCACTTCAGAGCTTATAATATACCCCTACCACATATACTAAGTGGAAAATAGCCAAAGTACACAGTCACAGAGAGGGTGTAGGTTACATATAAATCTCCTGAGAGGCTTAAGCTCAGGCCAGAAAGGGCATGGTGGTAGTGGGCATAGGGGACATTGTCCATGGTTGAGAAGCCAGGTGTGGCAAGTATAGCTTTCAAAGGTGGCTGGGTATAAAACAGAGATATTAAACTTCAACCTCTGCTCCTACTGCTACATCCAGCACAGAGATCTGTGGTTTGATTGCTTTCCTCATCCATCAAAATAAGCAAGGAAACACCTCAGTTTGGACAGTTTTACAGACTGGGGTGAACAAACACAGAAGCCTTTCTGGCAGTCGGGTGTGGGACAGTTCACACATCCGCAGGCTACAAAGTTATCAGAGAAAACTATGGGGAGAGGCACATAAAAGGGCACAGAAAATAAGAGCTCCTGGAGTGACTATAGCTTTACTGCTGGCAACACTGATTAAGAATGACTAGGGCCAGCAAGATAGCTCAGCGGACTCGGCGCCTGCTTAGGTAAGCACAGGGACCAGGACTCGATTACAGGCACTACATGCCATGCCGGCCCCACCCACAGGCACAATGAGCCGGCCACCAAATGCAGGCCTGGTGGCGCATGCCTACAATCCCAGCACTAGGGAGGCTGAAAATAGAAGGATCACTATGAGTGAGAGCTGCATAACTCCTTATGAATGGTCTCAATTTCCCAATTAAAAGACACTGATTGGTAGAATGGAAAAAGAAATAAAACTCAAATGATGAATAAAAGAAATACTTTAAATCCAAAACATACTCATAGATTAAAAACCAAGGATATAAAATAATATTCCATTCAAGAGAAACTTGAAAAATTTAAGAGTAGTTATCCTATTTTCAGACAAACTGAACTTCAAAACAAAACATCAAAGGAAACAAAGGTCACTATATAATGGTTAAGTAAATAATTTAATAGGAAGAGAAAACAATTATAAACATATTACACTAAAAGCGGGAATAACCAACTTCATAAAATAAACTAGACATAAAAGATCAGATGAACATCAACAAAATTATTGCAGGTCATTTCAATACCCTACTGACACAAACAGACTCGTGAACTAGACAAAAATGTAAATAACAATATAAAGAATTGAATCAGACATTTGAACAAATGGATTTAACAGCTATCTGGGGTGTTACAACCAACAATATAATACACACTTATCTCAGCAGTACATGGAAGTTCCTTCAAAGCAGACTATACATTAGCCCAGAAAAAAAATGCTTACATAATGTGTAAGAATCAAAATAATGCCTTGCATACTAGATGATAGTGCAGTGAACCTAGAAACCAGGGGTAAATGAAAATAAGGAATTTCTAAACTTATGAAATTTTTAAATGCAATCTTTATTAACCAGCAGGTCACAGCAGAAATCAAATAATAGGGGCTGGTGAGATGGCTCAGTGGTCTAAAGTACCTACTTAGAACAAACTTAGCTAAAGCACAGGGACCACGGTTCAATCCCCCAGCACCACATGCCAGCCAGCCCTGCCCCCTGGTGGGCTGAGCTGGCCACACACACAGAAAAATAAATAAATAATTTTTAAAAATAAAAAAAAAGAAATCAAATAATAAAGACAGATCCTGGAATCAAATAATATTGCTACTACAACATACCAGAATTTAAGAATTCAATGAAAACAATCCTAAGAAGTATGTTTCTTGTTGTGAATGTTCACATCAGAAAAGGGAACACAAATAAATAATAATGTACCTCCAGCCCTTAAGAGCTAAGAAAATCCAAATCAGAA